GTATGACGTCATCCAAGAGACAGTTGAAAATGATTTCCCAACCTTCCTGGGCAAGATCTTTGCCTTCCTCGCCAATCCAGGCCTGATCATTCCAGCCATCCTGCTGATGTTGTAAGTTAGCTGGGAGCCATGGCCCTGCCTCATGGAGACCTCCCCTTGCAGTTGAGACTTCCTTGGCAGGTCCTTCTTTCTTGCCTTCTCAACCTAGATTTCCCAGAAGTAGATCCTCCGACAGGGATTTAAGTGCAAGTAGTTTCCTGGAGGGGGCAGTGTGTGTAGGGACGTAAGACAGAGAAGGGACAGGAAGGTACATTCTAGCTCCTGTGGTGACTTTAATCCTGATGGAAGTTCTGGGAAACAGTGTGCCTCTGAGTTATCCTGTTCAAGGGTGAGAGATCAGGACTTTTTTTTCATTTATTTTTATTAGTTGGAGGCTAATTACTTTACAATATTGTAGTGGTTTTTGCCATACAATGACATGAATCAGCCATGTTTACATGTGTTCCCCATCCCGATCCCTACTCCCGCCTTTCTCCCCATCCCATCCCTCTGGGTCTTCCCAGTGCACCAGCCCTGAGCACTTGTCTCATGCATCCACTGGGCTGGCGATCTGTTTCACACTTGATAATATACATGTTTCAGTGCTATTCTCTCAGATCATCCCACCTTCACCTTCTCCCAGAGTCCAAAAGTCTGTTCTATATATCTGTGTCTCTTTTTCTGTCCTGCATATAGGGTTATCGTTAGCATCTTTTTAAATTCCATATATATGCATTAGTATACTGTATTGGTGTTTATTTTTCTGGCTTACTTCACTCTGTATAATGGGCTCCAGTTTCATCCATCTCATTAGAACTGATTCAAATGTATTCTTTTTAATGGCTGGGTAATGTTCCATTGTGTATATGTACCATAGCTTTCTTATCCATTCATCTGCTGATGGGCATCTAGGTTGCTTCCATGTCCTGGCTATTATAAACAGTGCTGTGATGAACATTGGGGTGCACGTGTCTCTTTCAGATCTGGTTTCTTCGGTGTGTATGCCCAGGAGTGGGATTGCTGGGTCATATGGCAGTTCTATTTCCAGTTTTTTAAGGAATCTCCACACTGTTCTCCATAGTGGCTGTAGATCAGGACATTTTAGATCAGTTCCCATCCATCACAGGTTGAGTGCCGCTGGGAGACATGGCAGGGGAGAGGTGTTGGTTAACTCCCCGGTAGTTTGGGCCAGCTGCATCATGGGCAGGAATGATTTCTGTGCAGGCTGGAGAGGAGGCATCAGGCACTGGCAACTGCATGTCTTTCAGGGAACACACTAAAAACAGGGCCCAAGGATAAGAGGAGTCTGGCAGCCGCTGAAGCTCTCTCCATAAATGCCACCAGAAATATCAAAGACCCACCCCTCAAGAAAGCTGAGGCTGATGCAGCCTGTCCCTGGCTGGGTTCACGGGGTTTCTCTGCAGAGCACCCTGTGCATGAGAGCATTCAGTACATTTGTCACCATCATCCTCACAGACTGAACACGTGAGTGGGCTTGGTGATCTCTGTGTCCCCAATACCAGCTCCATGGCTGGGGCATAGAAGGCAAACAATGAATGTTCAAGGAAGGAAGAAGGCAGTATAAAATATTCCCAACATACAGACATATACAGACAATCACGTGCAAGATCACAAGATTAGACGGATGTTAACATTTAGCAATATCTGCTTCCAACTGGTCTCTTTTTAAAAGAAATAAACATTACACTTCCAGCCCATCTAATCATTCTCTCTCCCTCCCTCTCCAAAGGTAACCGCTATTTGGATTAATTTTAATCATTTTCAATCTGAACCATTTAATCACATGTATGTACTATTGCTTCTGAGTTATAAAATTTTTCATGACTGGTTCAGACTACACAGCTTTCCTCACTCACATTATGTTTGGGGGACTTTCTCATGTGGATCCATGAACATACATTTTAATGACTCTTCTGTGTTTCATTGTGTCTCATAAATAATCAATAAACAATCTATAATAGGAAGAGAAAAGGATTTTATTTGAGCCAAACTGAAGACTATATCCCAGAAGACGGCCTCTTAGATAACTCTGAGAAGCTGCTCCAGAGAATCCTGGTTTTCAGCACACTTTTATATCTTGTCAGAACAAAAAACATTAAACAAATCAGGGATACATTGCTTCAAAGTTTCAAAAACAAGAAATAGATCAGCACATACACAATGAGTCAGTATGGCCTTAGCACCTGGGAAGGGAGTCTTATCATTGAAGGAGGACTGGAATTGGAATCCTAGGAAAGGAGACATTTAATCTTTATTTTTCACATGGACATTCTTTACTTCTAGTCAATGCACCCTTTTCTTTCACAATTAAAGCTGATATAGGAATCCCCTGGCGGCCTAGTAGTTAACATTCTGGACTTTCATTGCCCTGGCTCAGTCTCTGGTCAGGAACTGAGATCCTATAAGCCAAGAGGAGAAAACAAAGGAAGAAAGAAAGCAGATGTACAATGTATGCTTCATAAGCCACAAACAGGCTATTTTAGTTAGCATAAAATTCAAGTCAACTCATCTTTAGGCCAGAATGACTTCCCCAAACCTCAATATGTGAAAATTGCTTTTATCAGTTGTATGAATAAACCATAATTTACCCATTTCTCTGCATAGAGATAGGTTGTTTCTACTTTTCTGCTATTGCAAATGTTCTCCTTATATGTCTCCTTGTACACAGAGTTTTCTCTAAAACAGACTTCCAGAAATGGAATGGCTGGGTCATAGGTATGTGTTTCTTCAATCTTTGTAGACAGTGCTGAATTGCTCTCCAAAATAGGTATATTTCCTAACATCCTTGATTTCAAATAGCCTCCACTTCTAGTCTAAACGTGAGGGAAGGCTGACATGGTAGCAACCACCACCTGAGGAAATTCTGCAACCCAAATGCCAAAGCTGACCTTGAAGGCTGCATGGGAAAACGCTAAGCTTGGAAGCAGCCTCAAAATAAACACAGCCACCCAGGAGCATTTTATCCTCTCTCATCTTCAGTTCCTCCCTAAAAAATGGGCTGTGAATTAGGAGAGCAGGTGAAGCCTGCTGGGCACCTTCCCAACAGATGGTGGTCCCTTCACCTGGCCTCCCTCTGGCCTCTCATCACCCATAGTCCTCTAAGTCTTTGCTTCAGGAGACTCACAGGACACCTCTGACTTATACTCTGCCAAAGGCAATGTAGTTCCTCCATTCTGCCTGCAAGCGAGCTCTTGGACCCTGCTGAAGTGGCTCAGGGTGCCCCCAGGGCAAGGATCGGAAGACCCAAGCTGGGCAGCTGAGGCTTGAAATGCAGGAAGAAAAGTGACAGATAAAGACAAGCTGTCAGAGCTAGTCCAGGAGGCATCCCAGGCTTTTGTGGCCCCTCACTCTCAAGTGGTACATCCAGGTCATAACTCCAAATCCCAGGTCCTATGAAAGGGAAACCAGGCTACAGCTTTAAGGACACCCAGTCAGCCAGCGGGGGCTGGCTTCTGAAAACCACAAGTCCAGGACAGGCATTCCTATCCATGTACCCTGGGGAGAGGGCCTTCAGGGTCTATGCAGTTGTGTTTCTAGGCAAACTTGGAACAGGTCACCTAGCACCTCTCTCTCCTCCCTCCGCATTTGAAGACTGTAGAAAGGGCTTTGGCATCAAATGTGGCCTCTGACAAGTGCTAACAGATAAGGTGGCCTTGGGCAAATGACTTAACTCTCTGCATTATGGGATGCTGACCCTTAAAGATGGAAGTCATCATTTCTTCTACACAGGGTTTCATCAAAACCATGGAGATGTGGAGTGGGATCCACATGGCACAGAGCCTGGTACCCAGGCTGCTCCTACAGACAAGAAACCCTGCCTCTCCCCTGCTTCTTCAGATTTCCAAGAAGGGGACTGATTCCTCTAGCTAACCTTTATTAAACACTCAGAAAACTAAAAATATGTTCAATAAAATAGAGAGAACAGGGATATCCAAGACCTTCTTGATATTAGGTGGGGAACTTAGGATGGTTAGACTTCCCACCACCCTGCCCAGAGGCAAAGTAGGTCACCTATTCCCAAAGCCAGCTATGATTCCTCAGGTAAGGTGTCCAGCTCTCATCATTTTCCAAGATCACAGTACCCCTGGAGCATTCTTTTCTCTTGCAGCCTGGCCATCTACTACTTGAACTCAGTTTCCAAAAGCCTTTCTCGAGCAAACGCCCAGCTGAGAAAGAAAATCCAAGCGGTAAGTCTGTCGGGAGTTTTCATTAAACAAAATGTTATGTTTTTGGCTTTTGCTAATTCACCTTTTGAGCCCAGTTGATTGTATTCTTTAAATGGCCTTCTTCTAAACCAAACCCCAAGTTATCTGTATGGTAGGAAGCAGCCTTGAGAGATTCAGTGACCCCCCATTTATATTCTGAGGGTATTTGGGAATACATAATAGTAATGATTCCCTGGTGGCTCAGATGGTAAAGAGTCTGCCCGCAATGCGGGAGACCAGGGTTCGATACCTGGGTCGGGACAATACCCTGGAGAAGGAAATGGCAACCCACTCCAGTATTCTTGCCTGAAAAATCCCATGGATGGAGGAGCCTGGCAGGCAATAGTCCATAGGGTCGCGAAGAGTCAGACATGACTAAATCACTTCACTTTCTTTCAACAGTAATGACTTAAATTTTGAGCAGCTGCTAAGGAACAGGAAAAAGTCAATGGGTTAAACCAGTGTTCAAACATAATAAAACTAGTACCCACAATAACTCCTACTGATTAAAGTGAGTACTAGAAATACTAAAGAAAACAGCATTGTCAGAACGACAGAGCGCTTGCGCCCCAAGGCCTAAGGAGCCTCTGTAAGTCCCCTCCACACTAGCGCAGCCTCTCTCAACATCTGATGACACCCTGACCCCTCTCCTGCTCTTGCAACACCCACCCCCCCCCCTCTTTAATGTGTAAAAAGCTGGACTCCAACCCTCCCTAAGTCATGTCCCCCTTGTTTTCTCACCCTCTTTTCTGGAACTAATCTCATCAGCCTCACTGCCAGTTCCCCATCCACGCTTCCTTCTGTCACTCTCACTGACCTCCTGCCCAGGTGTAGAAAACCACTGAAATACAGGATTGGCTGAGGGTCTGTCTTCCCCTGGCCAGATGTTCCTTCAAATGCTATGCAAACCTGAGTTCTGGGTGCCTCTCCGACCAGCGGTGAGAACAAGAACTGGTGATTTAAGGTGGCTTCCCTCTGGATCTCACCATCCTGGGGTCCAAAACTCAAAACACCCATTTCCCTGGCCAGGACTAACGATTCATTTCTTCCCTGCAGCTCCGTGAAGTTGAGAAGAGCCATAAATCTGTCAAAGGCAGAGCCACACCCAGAGATTCAGAGGACACGGATAAAGGCAACTCCAAAAATGGCACCCAGCTCACCAAAGAAGGTATATTCTATTTCACGATGATTACTTTTTACAAGGTGACAAAGAAAGTGTAAAGAGCAAATGCTATGAAATCAGATGCATAAGGGACTGAAGTCAGAATTCTGACAACTACTAACTAGCTGTATGAAGTTGGGCAAATAGAAGCAAGAAGCAAGAGTAAATCATAGGTAACCTCACAGGGTGGTGCAAATGCAGTGAGATTATGCATGTGTTTTACAGACTTCCTGGAACCAGTGGGAGGAGGAATGTCTGTAAAATGGGGAAATACCAGGGTTGTTTCCCTCATCTCTATCCTGAGTCTCTTGCCACATTTTCTATGGTGATGGTTCTTCACTTCTTCTTCATTTCTGAAGTGACTTTGCCTTCATCTCACTCCAGATCTATCATTTCCCATGTCATATCCTCTTAGTATCTGGCTACTTAAACCACTGTAGGAGCATGCCTGGTGTCCTACCCAGATCCCTTTAAGATGCCCTGAGGTTGGCTTATATGGATCGCAGCTGCCAGGGATGGACGAGCTATTTGTTTTCTGTGCAGTTTTTTAAGAGAAAAAATAGGGACATTTGCATCTAGCTGCTGCAAATCCCACCAGAACCAATTTATATTCTCTTAAAAGACAAGAAGCACTAGAACAGCTAGAATAACATGGTGAGGAAGGGCCACACACATTCCAAAGGTGTGACAGAGCTTCAAAGGGGACTAATCACCGACCACCTCTACTTCGGCAGTGAGGAAAGCAAACCGCAAGAGACCGTCTCTGAGCTATTCTTGTTTTCCCAGGACTGTCCCTGTATCAAAATTAAAGTATCAGTATGCAGTAATTTTGACCTTTCATGTGGAAATTGCATGAGATGCACAAGAAATGGCTGAGAGTTTAGGAGTTAGTTAGAATTTATAGTATGGAAATTACTTACCATTTATTTGATGCCTTTATAACGTGTAGGCAAGACTTCAGAAAACAGAACCATGAAGAATCTAATCCCATAGCAGTATTTCCCTGAAGGTGAAAATCCTCAGTTCTCCAGATGCAATAGTGCAGAGAGTGACTGTGGAAGCAAGTCAGGAGGAAAAAGGGCACTTGTGTGGATATTCCTAGCAAACGCTCATTGATACTGAAATAGCAGGTATTAAAATAAGTCATGAACAAGTGGGTATTACAAAAAGAGGACAAGAAGTCTGCGTGAACACAGAACCTATTCCTGGTGAGTCTCAAAAATGTATGGAAGGCATCTCAGAGCTATAGCCTTCAGTAAAATCAGCTGCAGTCTGTCCACAGCTTGGAAGGCTGGTTCAGAAATGAAATGCGGCAGAGCAAGTGGTTGCTTTTATCATGGAGCTGAAGAAAGTGTTTGAATTCACCTAATTTTTTTCACAAGGGGTAGGAGTAAATGTGACATTATGTTGCCATATCACCAACAAAAACAAGACAAAAAATAGAATGGATGTATTTGAACATCAATGGAAGAGAAAAAACAGGTTTATAGAACATTTTCCATAAGGCAAGAAACTAACATTGGTTTGACAGTGGTCCATTCATGGACCCAGAGTCCCAAGGTTCCTGTACCCCTTATCCACTCCCTTCCCCTACTTTCTTTACTGGCTGCTGATCTAAAGTTTGCCCCTCTCCAAATTTGAATTTTTTATTACAGATCTGAAGCTCTTTTGATTTTATGCTGATTAAATCAATATTGCAGTGTTTTGTTTTGTTTTGTTTTGTTTTTATGAACAGGCTATCAGAACACATTAGTGGGACTAGGATGTGCAGGGAAACTGAGGAAGGGTGTTAAACTTTCACCTGGAAAACTCCCAACAGCATCTATCACTGCCTTCATTTAACTTCTCTTGTTATTTCCTTCTCCAAGGAATCTTCCCAATCCAGGGGTTGAGCCTGGATCTCCCGCATTGCAGATTCTTTCCCATCTGAGCCACCAGGGAAGCCCTCTCTTTCTTGAAGTATACACTAAAATGACACTGCTCTAACAAGCAGGCCTAACAGCTAATGGCTCAAACACAATAAAAATTTCTCACTCTATAAAGCCCAAATTGGGTATTTCCATTTGATGGCCACTCTCCTCCCAAGTAGTGATGTGCGGAACCCTGGCTCTTCTCATCCTGTGACTATACCTGCATCAGGCTGGGAGTGGGAAGAGCCTAGAGTCACACATGGATACAGTGCCCATCAAAGTCTGGAAATTTAGTCTATTTCTATGTCCTAGAACTGGGTTTGGTGAAGAACAAGTCAGTAATTGCCCCCAACTCGGAGTTAAGGAAAGGAGGGAAACAAGTAGGTGAATGAGCTGGAAATGGATATGATTAGCAGGGCACTGTCCTGGGGTTGATCCAGTTTCCACAACCCTTTCTATCATCATATTTGACCCTGGTAGCCATCTGTGAACAGCTATTATAGCTCTGATTTTATTCTCAACAAAACCAGGCTCAGAGAGTCTAGCCTAAGGCCAGCATTCAAAATCTAGCTCTCTATCCAGCAGATCATACTCCTCCAACACAGCTGTTTATACCAAGAATGGGCCAAGGTGCCCCTAGGTGATCCAACCATTCTCACATCACCAAATAGGACTGGAATCTACCTAGAGCACAGGGCAGCTTCCAAGAACTCCAATTCCACACCAGGACACTGTAGGGAAATCTCCCATATCCTCATTCTTGTCTTGTTCATTCCCCAGGGACTGCACATCACCCTGCTAGCCAAAGCCAGACCCTGGACCAGAAGGCGCAGGGCCCTGGGGCCTCCAGTTCTGCCAGCAAGACTGTGCTGCTTGCCTCCCAACACCTCCCTGTATCTCGGGCCCCTGGTGTCAGACCAGACTCTGGCCAAGCCCGTCCTCAGGTTCATCCTTGGAGGTCAACCTCTGGAAAGCGGGCTTGGAGACCACCCCACTGACAACTGGGACTAATGGAGCATAGTCCTGGGGCTGATCCTCAAGCCCCACCAGCTCACCCCACCCACCCACCCCAAATCATTCTCTTCCTCTCTTCTCTCACACACATTCATGTTCTCTCTACTCTCACTGAATGTGGGAACTTTGATTACCAGTCTCAGGCTCTTGTTAGCTACCAAGAGGACAATGGCTTCACCCACCTCTTCGGAGAGCTGAGCCTTCCCCCCACTAACTACCCATCCCAGAGTCCTGGCTCAGGCAGCTCTGGACCCTGCACTCATAGCATATTACCTCAGCTCCAGACTCGGGGAGAGGGGGTAGGGCCATGATCACCATCATAGACTTTTGCACAGAGTCCACGTGGAGACAGGTTTCTACCAGTTCCACCAACTGGGAAGAGGTTACAGAGGGACACACATTCCTGACCACCAACCACTTCCTTCCAAAGGGGGTGATGCAGTGTAAACAAAAGGTTCAAGAAGCCAATGATAATAAAAGTAAAATGAAGTCCAGCCTTGGTGAGTGGGAAAATGGTGATTCTCCAGAAACTAGGTGGAGGAGAGCTGATGCCATCAAGCATCAAAAGTGCACTGGAGCCTCCCTGGCAGCAAGGCAAAGAGACAGCAGCATGGTTCCTCTGACCTAATTGAAGGTATTAGTCACTCAGTCGTATCTGACTCCAGACCCCATGGACTATGGCCCACCAGGCTTCTCTGTCCATGGAATTCTCCAGGCAAGAATACTGGAGTGGGTTGCCATTTCCTTCTCCAGAGGATCTTCCTGACCCAGGGATCAAACCTGGGTCTCCTGCATTATAGAGATGGATTCTTTACATTCTGAGTCATCTGGGAAGCCCTCGTGAAACAAAATATTGCTCAGGGTAGAAAATTCTTCCTCATGCATGAAATTCTAAAATGAATGATTGTTTACTGTAAAGGGTTTGGGGGGGGGGGGATGGAGTTCTGCAAAGGGTACAGTGTAGAGCCTTGTTTCTGGTGATCACATCCTGGTTCTGTGCAGAAGTCTCATGGGGGCATCAGCCCTAGAGGCCAGACCACCGAGGAGGCCTTGCCAGCATGAGGCAAGTATCGGCAGGGTGCCAGTCTCAGTCCAGGACTCCCAGAGGTTACCCTCAGGCTTCCAAGGCTGACCAATATCCCTACTCACCCACCACAAATACAAATTATCCTGTTTTGATGACACATAACTTTATGTGAAGGAGTGTATGTTATCTATTGTTACATAATAAATTATCCCCCAAACTTAACAGCTTAAAACAACAAACATTTGCTATCTCACACAGTTTCTGTGCATCAAGAATTCGGGATTGGCTTCACCAGGAAATTCTGGTTCTGCATATTGCAGTCACAATCTGAGGCAGGGCTACAGTCATCAGAACATTTGTCGGGAGCTGGAAGATACAGTCACAAGTGGCTCACTCATTGCTGCTAGCAGGAGGTGTTTGTTCCTAGCTGGCCATCCACAGACTTGCTTACTCCCTACACTGACCTCTCCATAGGGCTGCTTGGGTACCCTCACAACACAGCAGCTCACTTCCCCCAGTGATCTGACAGCAAGGAGGAAGCCACAACACCACTTATAACCTGTTCTCAAAAGTTACACTATCAATTCCACCAATTTCTGTTCATTAGAACAGTCACTAAGTCTAGCTTACACTCAGAGATGGAAATTAGGCTCCAGCTCTTGAATGAAGAGTGATCAAAGAATTTTTGGACACATTTTAACAGGTTTCTTAATTCAAATAGTTACCAGATCTCTGTCATGAAAACACTAAAGCTTTTTTGAAAGACATCCATCAGTGGATTCGTTAGTAGTGGATCCTGGGACCATCAGGCAAAAGAAAACTTCTAATGAGCTAGGGAGATGGGTAGAGGAAGAAGGTATGGGTAAGAGAGGAGGGATGATCATCTGGTGCAACCCCATGGACTGTGGCACGCCAGGCTTCTCTGTCATTCACTATCTCCCAGAGTTTGCGCAGATTCATGTCCATTGAATCAGTGATGCCATCCAACCATCTCATTCTCTGTCATCCCCTTCTCCTCCTGCCCTCAATCTTTCCCAGCATCAGGGTCTTTTCCAATGAGTCGGCTCTTCACATCAGGTGGCCAAAGTATTGGAGTTTCAGATACACAGTGCTATAAACAAGAATCTACTGTATAGCACAGGGGACTATATTCAACATCTTCTAATAAACTTTAATGGAAAAGAATCTGAAATATATATAACTGAATCACTTTGCTGTATACTTGAAACTAACACTGTAAATCAACTATACCTCAATAGAAAAGAAAAAAACACATTAGTTACTAAAAAATTAAAAATAAACTGATCACTAGTGCCTCTAAGAAAAAGGAGGGACAAAGAAGCAAAAAACAGCACAAAAACAAAGCGTGTAAGATGCTAGAAATAAAATATAATCAGGAATTAACCTAAGGACAGGGGCACAGGGACCGCCAGATTCTGTTGTGAAGATTCAACAAGCTGACACATATGAGACTAAGCGCTAAGCATTAGACTAAGTGCTCAATAAGTAACAGATATTATCATAGGCCTGGGTAAGATCAAACATCCTCAGGCTCAGGTCATGAACACAAACATCATTGACTGATTAAAACTTTTACCCAGTATTCCTGAATGATCTTTCTAGAAGGCTTCCCATTCTTCTGTGTCTCCGTAAAGAAATGCTGCAAATATGTATAAATTGTTACCAAAGAATGTTGTAGGGTTTATTTGGCCTGGGAATTGCCTGACGCCTTTGAAATTTGATGTGAAAAATTCACGAAATGAGTGTTAAGTGCCGCCATCCTGTGGTTGTTTCATGTAATTTCCTTTCCTGAAGCTCTGCCTAGTCCTTTGAACATTTGTTTCCGTAAGTCCCCATTAACACTGCTCAGAGTAAAAACTCCGGTTTAATTACACCAAAATGACACAGTAAGCCATACACCAAGCTAAATAAAAGAGGAAGAGATGCTGCAGTGTATTATCCTTCCCAATGGGTGAACAGAGAAAAGAAAGGCCCACATGGCTTTTTAAAGCTGAGCCTGGAGCACACCTGGCAAGCCAGTAGCCTCCTTCAGACCTGCTGCCATTTTCCCAGCTGGAATTTGGTGGGAAATGTTTTGCACATCACCTCCAAACTAATCTGCTATCAGACACTGCTTTATGGAGAGTAAGAGTCATCAGGCCCAAGCCCCTCACCCTGGCCTTCATTCAAGGCCTCATACATTCTAGATCTTTCACGTTAGATCCTTCAGTCTTTCGTCCAACTACCGAGCAGGATGAATCTCTTACACCTTCAGGAGTTTCTTCTCTGTGGATTGGCTTTCAACTCTTTCCACCCTCCATCTCTAAATGACCCACACATCCTTCTGTGAATACCTAAATTACCTCCTGCCCCTGAAATCTTCCTCAAGCACCCTGGTCAGCCTCCCACACTGCTACATCATAGCACATGGCTAGTGAAGTCTCTGAACGAAGAGGCCATGGGTTAGTACTATCACTGCTTTCATCATCCTTCCACATCTCTGCTCGAAATGTTGCCCCTCCACTGAGGGACTCCATGCAACCTTCCTTAACATGTACCAACATCTATGGTACCAAGTATGTACTACATATTTACTTGATTTCCTGTCTCCTAGGATGTAAACTCCACGTTGGCAGGGACTTGACTTTGTAAAATACTGTACCCCCAGCATCTACAAAGATACTTGGCATATAATAGGCACATAAAAACCTTTTTTTTTTCTTCTAAGGAATGGAAAAACTGATTCTGTAGCTTCTTGAACATCATTACAGCTAATACCTCATCCACAAAAGACGTTAGATCATATAGTCTCCAAGATGCCCACTAGCTCAAAACTTACCAATGTTCTCAGGGGCCCAAAATAGACCAGTTGAAATACATGACTTAGTTAGGGTTCTGAGAAGATGAAAAGATGCAGCTTTAGGCTCATTTCTCCACCCACCCTCCCACCACCCCCACCAGTTCAAGCTTCGTGTCTGTGAGGGGTCTGCAGACTACAAATGAGTCCCTGGGCCCCACACACATAAAACGATGCCAGCTGTCAGGGCCACACCAGCACTTAAAGAAAGAACTAGGTGGATACTGAAGCTGGAACAACACAATCAGGATAGTAAATCTGAGATGAGGAAGTACAACAGCTTGTAGTATCCCAGAACTGTTTTGATCAATAGTATCTTGCCTCCTCATCCAAAAAGTAGTCCTTCCCAGTACGAAATCGAATGCTACCAGGCAGTAATGGGTGGCTGGGGGTTTTCTCAGAGAAAGAGGAAATAATGTTTAGAAAGCAGCAATGGAAAGCAAGGAGGACTGCATCCTTTAATACCCATCTAAACAACGTGTGGGTCCTTGATGCTATCATAATGGAAATTAGAATAAATTTGATTTGAATTATAATGAAAGTATTGCATGCCAAATTTGTGAATACAGCTAAAGAAGTATCTAGAGAGAAATGCATATTGAAGGAGAAAATGTTAAGCCAAAGAACCAACTTCCATATTAAGAAACAAAACACAGCAAAATAAAGCCATCAAGTAGAAGAAAGGAAATAATAAATACAAGAGCTAAAACATACAATAGAATCAACAAAATCTAAAGTTAATGTTTGAAAAAGAAAATTAACATTTTTTTGAGAATGATGAAAATAAAGTAAAAATAAAGGATAAAAAAGATCACAGCTATATATGCTACACAAAACATTAAAAAAAATCTATTCAAATCTATACTAAAAAATGTGAAAGCACAGATGAAATGCTGTACTTTTCTTGGGCTCCAAAATCACTGCAGATGTAGCTACGAAATTAAGACACTTGCTCCTTGAAAGAAAAGCTATGACCAACCTAGACAGCATACTAAAAAGCAGAGGCATTACTTTGCCTACAAAGGTCCATATATTCAAAGCTATGGCTTTTCCAGTAGTCATGTATGGATGTGAGCTGGACCATAAAAAAGGCTGAGTGCTGAAGAATTGATTTTGAACTGTGGTGTCAGAGAAGACTTTTGAGAGAGTCCCTTGGACAGCAAGGAGATCAAACCAGTCAATCCTAAAGGAAATCAACCCTGAACATTCATTGGAAGGACTGATGCTGAAACTAAAGCTCCCATACTTTACCCACCTAATTCGAAGAGCTGACTCACTGGAAAAGACCCTGATGCTGGGAAAGACTGAAGGCAGAAGGGGACAAGAGAGGATGAAATGGATGGCATCACCAACTCAATGGACAAGAGTTTGAGCAAACTCGGGAGATAGTAAGACAGGGAAACCTGGTGTGCTGCAGTCAAAGGGGTCATGAAGATTCAGACACAACTGAGTTAACAACAAAATATATGAAATGAACAAATTCCCAGAAAACTAACAAAAATGGTACAAGAAAGTAGAAACCCTGAATGATTTGTGACCATTATAAATCTGAATTATTTAAAATATGCTTTGAAGATCTCTTTGTTCTTGGTGTTTTGCTGGTTTATTACAAGGGTACAAGCCTGGATTTCTTTTTATCCTGTTTGAGATGCATTCCTGCACCTTTGGCTCAATGTTTTTCATCAGTTCTGGGGAGACTGCATCTACCACCTCTTCAAATATTGTTCCACCTGATGATGGTTAATTTTACGTTGTCAACTCAACGAGACTGAGGGATGCCCAGATAGCTGGTAAAACAGTTTCTAGTAGTGTTTGTGAGGGTGTTCCTGGAAGAAATTAGCATCTGAGTTGGTAAACTGAGTAAAGCAGATGGCCCTCCCAAACATGGATGGTCATCAACCAATTTATTGAGAAGCAGAATAGAACAAAAAGGCGAAGGAAGAGCAAATTAGTTCTATCTCTGCTTGAGCTGAGACATCCACTTCCTCCTGTCCCTCGGACACTCTGGGTTCTCAGGCTTTCAGTGTCAGACTTGGGCCCACAACATCAGCTGCCCTCAATCCCATTCTCAGGCCTTTGGGTTCAAACTGAATTAACATAATCAGTTTCCCTGGTTCTCCTGCCCACAGATGAGACTGAGGAACTTCTTGGCTTCCACAAACATGTGAGCCATTTCCTATAATTTCCTCTTATCTATATCTGTATCCATGTCCGTGCATGCTCAGTCACATCTGACTCTTTGTGACCCTATGGACTGGAGCCAGCCAGGCTCCTCTGCCCATGGGATTCTCCAGGCAAGAATACTGGAGTGGGTTGCCATGCCCTCCTCCAGGGGATCTTCCCCATCCTTTGATTCTCCAGGGATCAAACCCACTGTTTCCTGCACTACAGGCAAATTCTTTACTCCATTCTGAGCCACCAGGGAAGCCCCATTCATTGTATCTATAGCTATATCCTATCGCTTCTGTTTCTCTGAAGAGAACCTTCACTAATATCCTTCCTGCTTTCTGGGCTAGACTTACTCCACATCTCCTAACCGCTCTTTCACCTCTTTATCTTTGTTACATTCTCAATAAATTATTTGGTTAGATCTTCCAGTTCACTAATACTCTCTTAAGCCACGCCTAATTTGCTGAGTCAATGCATTTCTTTTAAATTTCAACGAGTTTTTCATTTCTACAAATATCATTATCTGTTCACTTCTGCCATGCTCCCCAAATATGGCACAGATGAAACTGCCTACCTCCAAGAACAGGGACAGCCATATGACCCTGAAAACGCCCAATCTCGTCTGAGCTCAGAATAGGGATTAGCAATCCTTTTGCATAAATTGTCAGATAATAAATATTTCAGACTTTGTGGGCCACGAATAGTCTCTGCCCCGCACCCCCCAAAAAATTAAAACCCTTTAAAACATGAAAATCATTCTTAGCTCTGAGGTCCTACAAAAATAAGCCACAAGCCAGATTTGGTCCCCAGGGTCATGGTTTGCTGACCGCTGCTCTAGAGGCCCCACACTCAACCCAATGCAATGGTCAGTGCAGCAGAGGAAAGCTTACAGAGCATTCATGAGCAGCGGGTTGCCATTCCCTTCTCCAAGGGATCTTTCCAACCCAGGGATCAAACCCAGGTCTCCTACACTGCAGGAAGATTCTTTATTGTCTGAGACACCAGGGATGGCCTTCATGAGGAAAGGGTTAGGATAAAAGTTCCTCTGGTAATAAGCACAGTCCTCCCAGCCTATACACGGCAGACAGGTGACCCCAAAGACCACACACGCCTCAGTGAGGAGTATTTCCACCAATAGAGGCCTGACATAAGAAGATACAACTCAGAAATTTCAAGTATCTGTCTAAGATCAGTGTGGCTCAGAGGATAAGTGTACAGGTCCGGGGGCCAGTCCAAAGCAGCCATTTTATAGCAGGGATTGATGGTTTCCCAAGACACAGCACCAGATCCTGAGCACAGAGAACTGAGAAATCCCCCCTCTTCTCCTGCAACTAGGGTATAAGAGTGCTCCCACAAACCCCATTGCCATTTGGAAAAGACCTGAAGAAGACAGAGGAAGCCTGAAAGATTCTTAGCAACCCTGTTTAAATAGAAAACAACCGAGATACCAATAACTGGCAGGTTTATATACTGAACATATTTTCCAGGTTTCAACATTTAATCAGTAAACCGTCTATCTACTGCCACTGGAAGTTGAAAAACAGAATGCGTAACTGTTTTACCAAGTGAAACTAAACTTACTTTTAGAAGTGCTCTGTCTATGTGTGTAAGTTAATGATAGAAATGAATCAGAGTAGCTGGGTTATAAAAACTGGGGTTTTAGTAGATTCTGTGAGAAGTGATGGGAGAACTGGGACTCAACTGAGAACAGGTAAAGTGAAATATTGTGATAAAAAATTATCACTATTCACTGATAAAGGGGATTAAAAAAAAAAGTCCACTAATATTCGTTGAGTTCCTACTACATGCCAGGTACCACACCTGTGTCACACCTGGCCTATGTTCAGTAAAATGTTTGTTGAGGGATGAATGAATCCTCCATCTTCATTCTGCAAAAAAAAAAGAAAGAAAGAAAGCAAGCTTAGGAAAGTTGGGTGATTAACTTAAGGTCATGTTATTAAGCAGCAGAGCTCAGATCTGAGCCCAGGTTTGTTGACTCTGATTCATATTTACTGCTACTTAAAAAATTATCCCCAAATTCAGTGAATTTAACAAACAGCTCAAAGGCAAAGGAGATATAATCTTTGACATCACATGCTGCAGAGATGCCCATGGAGGTCAGGATTATGAAGCACAAGGGGAGATAGTTTAGCAAAGAGAGGGAAAGAAAGGCGTGTTTATGCCATATCCTTATCTAATTATAAGCTTTTCTACCTCACTAGTTGAAGTGCACTTTTCTTCAGCTACCCCTCTAAGTTAGCAACTACTTTAACACAGTTCCTTTGTAACCAGAGGACTCAAATCTATCTAAAGCCATGGAGTAAACTTTCAGCTCAGTGACTCTCAGGCTTTTAGTATATAATCCACAGAAATGTGCATTTACATAACATATATATGGTGTATATATATATATATGTATATACATGTATATATGTATGTTTACACATATGTATACATACATGTTTAAAACAAAAATTTTACAAACCAATACTCCTTATTCTATGCGATGGACTATTATTTCCTTGTTTTTTCATCCTACTTTTTTAATATTGGCCAAGAATGTCTAAATTAATTCTGCAAACTGATTAATGTATTCCAACCTCTCCTCTGAAATTCCCTACTTTAGTAGACAAACACCTGTAACCCCAGGAATATTTAGGATTAAGTACAGAAGTAATCAAGTAAATCAGTCATAGCATTATTTTCTGATACATTTTGGAAACTTCTATTTAATTTGGCATTTATAATGCTTAAGAATTTAGCATCCTCATGTAACAGATTAATTTTGCAATTCCATTTTAAAACATGAGATGGAGTAACTGATCAAATTCCGTTTTAAAACATGAGATGGAATCTGAACTCATGATTACAAGTGGATACAGGCAACAAAATGTAAGCACATTTGTAAGCACATTTGTAAGACCATGAGATTTTCAGATTTATGATTAAAATTTAATCTACTAGATTTTAAGAGCTCAGTACTTGAATCTTGTCAAATAACTGAACTGCTTAAGAAAATACCTTGAATTTGTAAATGCATGCTAGTTGTGGGAATTTAAGTTGTAAAACTCCCCTTACGATGATTTATTTTTAAATTTACCAACATATATATACCATTTTGGGGTAACCAGGTTTTGGAATTGTAACTCAGACATTATTAAAGCAAAAGTATCAATAATTTCAAAACAGTCGCCTGAGTGCCATAAAGCTGCCCAGAGGACACGACAGCAGCTCCCGTTCACTTGGAACTAACCAGGTACTAAGAAGTTGGGCAGTGCACCAGGGCGAGTGACACGTGGCCCCGCAAAAGGAAGGTTCTGCCTAAGCAAGGAACAATAAACCGAACCGGGAAAAGATGGGATCATCTTTCTTTCCTACTTCAGCGCCTGAAGCCCTTATTTTTAAAAATAAAATATAACTGAAAAGCACGAAGTCAGCCAAAGGGAATCACGACTTCAAAATCCGCGCCAGCGCGTCGTAGGCCCAGCTTCCGCCCGTGATGAAGAAAGAACGCTCAGAACCCTGGCCCGGGAGAGGGTAGACCCCTATTGCTGGGTGGGGACACAGGGGGTCCTAGTTATCCTGGGGGCGTGAGGCGGGGCCTAGGTCCTGAGATGCCTAGCGCTGCGGAGACCAGGCTCCGCAACAGTTTCTGCTCTGAAGTGTCGCCGCGATCAGCGAGGGGGCCTCCAGCCCGGATCCCACCAAGCTCTGCTGCCTGTAATTTACAGGATGAAAACAAGACTGAATGCACAGTTAGCCAGAAAAGCGCCTTTCCAAACCATTTTGCAGCCTGCTGGGCCCGTTCTTGCCGGCGCGTACCAAACAACCATGCGGCAGCAGACACCGGAAAAGGCAATCCTGCCGGCGCTCGCGCCCCAGTCCCCGCCCTGCGGGCCGTACCACCCCGGGCGACCCCTCCCGAGGAGCGGGAAGGTACCGTCCCCGGCCTCTGATTGGCCGACGAGACGGGGGCGTGGCCTCAGGAGCCTGGTTCCGCGCGCCAGAGCGCGCTCGCCGCAGTGCGAGCCGGTCCCGGAGCGAGCGCCATGGTGAGGAGTGGTTGTAGGTTGCGGGCGAGTCGGAGGCGGCGGTTTGGGCCTGGGTTTGGGCCGGAGCGTGGACTGGGACCAGTGCCTTCCCCGCGGACGCGGCTGGGCAAACGCGGGATCGGTGCTTACTTTGGCGTCCCTGCTGCCTTTTCAGGTGCTGCTGCACGTGCTTTTCGAGCACGCGGTCGGCTACGCGCTGCTGGCGCTGAAGGAGGTGGAGGAGATCAGCCTTCTGCTGCCGCAGGTGTGTGGACATGGTGGGCTAGCCGGCGGCTCCGCAGCCCCTTGGGGCGCGCGGGCCCCAGCATGCACCGCGCGCTCCCACGTGGCTGGCCGCGCTTTGGGAGGTGCGCTGGGCCCAACAGCTCCAAAGCAGGGGGTCCTTAACCTGCATTCGTGATTAGAATTGCGTTTGAAGCATTAAAAATTAAGCTTTCCAGACTCCACCCCTTACTGATGAAGCGGAACCGAGATTTAGGGCCCTTGATCTGTCCATTTTTAGTGTTCGGTTGGTCTTAAAAGTGCGTTCAGGTCCGAGAGCTGCTGCTGCTTTACTGCGCCCTAGAGGCAAGAGAAAGGGAAGGAAATCACTCATCTTTCTCCCCCCAGGTGGAGGAGTGCGTGCTGAACCTGGGCAAATTCCACAACATCGTTCGTCTTGTGGCCTTTTGTCCCTTTTCCTCGTCCCAGGTTGCCTTGGAAAATGCCAACGCTGTGTCTGAAGGTGAGTTGGCCACTAAATATTGTAGGGGGATGACCCGAGATGTAGTTCTTGGTACTGTTAACCCTTTAACAACCTAGAATGTAGGCTTTATTTCCTGTAGGCACTGTAGTAATAAATGATTTTAAGTGAAATCAGGCTGGGGTTGAGGGGCTGGTATAATGGTAGATCTAATCAAATGTGGTTCTCTGCTGGTTTCTTCAGCTGATTGCAAAGGGTAATTTTGATGCTAAAAGCCTGGAGAAAGAGTTTTAGTCCCAGAAGACAGATCTGATGCTAAATACATCCATTGTGCTCAAGGGTGTTTCAAGCTTTCAGTAATATATTTTACATTTATGTTATTGGGCCTGAGTTCTGTTCCTCCTATGGTTGATGCTGGCTTTGCAGTGATGACTTGAGTCTGTCAATCCCCTGAGTGAGTGTAATCAGTGATGTCTCCATGTCTCTGAGCAAAGCCTCTGAGCAAGAGGAGGGCTCTAGGCACAGGCCATCTTAGCATGCTCTGCAAAACCAATGTAAGATCAGTCTGTCACTGATCAGCAGTTGAGGGGACAAGATCCCTTTTTATGATTTAAGCATCCTTCAGCACGTTAGTGGGAGCTCTGTTCTTTGCCTTGAGGTGTTGTTCATGAGGACCTCCGCCTGCTCTTGGAGACTCACCTACCACCCAAAAAGAAGAAAGTACTTCTGGGGGTTGGGGACCCCAAGATAGGTGCAGCTATACAGGAGGAGTTGGGGTACAACTGCCAGACTGGAGGTGTCATAGCCGAGATCCTTCGAGGTGAGACATTTTTGAGCCGGTGACGGGGGGGTGGTGGGGTGGGTGGGGGCCTGGAAACCTAGCAGGTTGCTTTTTAGAAGCCCTCCTGCTTGTCTGGTGCCTGTGCATGCAGGAGCTAGCTCAGAGCCTTTACTTACAGTCTCGCCCTCTTCTAGGAGTTCGTCTGCATTTCCACAATCTGGTGAAAGGTCTGACTGATTTGTCTGCTTGTAAAGCCCAACTGGGGCTGGGACACAGCTATTCTCGTGCCAAAGTTAAGTTCAATGTGAACCGAGTGGACAACATGATTATCCAATCCATTAGCCTCCTGGACCAGCTGGATAAGGATATCAATACCTTCTCCATGCGTGTCAGGTAAAGTGCAGGGGTGACCTGAGAAACTTGTGGGTTAGCTAATTTTGAATCCTGAGATCAGGACTGGTAGAGCTGGGCCTCCCAATGCTTACCACAGGCTGTGTTCTTACACTGACTGTATAGAAAGAGGAGGCAGAGTAAGTCCACCCCATATACACCTCAGCCCAGGCAGGCCCTTTACCTGGTCTGTATTGTGAATGGGGAGACATGGAGGTTTTTGGATCTGATTTGTTCCCATTTCCTCCAGGCATAAAGTAGATGTGGAGAGGGCTGAGTGTAGCTTTGAGGCATGGCAGCTGGGCCAGGGAGTGATTGTGGTTCTTTGCAGGGAGTGGTATGGGTATCACTTTCCTGAGCTGGTAAAGATCATCAATGACAATGCTACGTACTGCCGCCTTGCTCAGTTCATTGGAAACCGGAAGGAGCTTAATGAAGAAAAGTTGGAGAAGCTGGAGGAGCTGACAATGGATGCAGCCAAGGCTAAGGCTATTCTGGATGCCTCGCGGTCTTCCATGGGTCAGTACAGAGCCTAGCAGTGAAAATAAGGCATGGGGCTCTGAATATTGGGCTTCTGCATTCACACTTGACTTTCTTTAGGCATGGACATATCAGCCATTGACTTGATAAACATCGAGAGCTTCTCCAGCCGTGTGGTGTCTTTGTCAGAGTACCGTCAAAGTCTACACACTTACCTGCGATCCAAGATGAGCCAAGTAGCCCCCAGCCTGTCTGCCCTAATTGGGGAAGCGGTGCGTCATGGGAAACCAAAACATGGGGGATTGTGGGATTACCATGTACATTCGTCATATTGTTGTATTTTGTGACCTATCATATCTTCCCCGCTTGAACTTGATCGGGAGGAGGTTGAAGCAAGTTATGCAGTTGGTACGTTGGCAATTCCAGCTTCTTTGACTCCTTGACTCTTTCTCTAGGTAGGTGCACGTCTCATTGCTCACGCTGGCAGTCTCACCAATCTGGCCAAGTATCCGGCATCCACAGTGCAGATCCTTGGGGCTGAAAAGGCCCTGTTCAGGTACCAGTGAGGGCACCTGCTCACACTCAGGTGCCACTTCTGGTGCCCACTTGCTTGTTTGGGGATCACAGTGATGGTTGACCAGGGCTCCCTGACCTGTACAGGCCTCTGCTATGGGGGTGATGGCCAGTCCTGGCGTCTGAGTGATTCCCTGGGCCCAGCAAAGGGACCAAGTTTCCAGGTCAGCGACGTTGGATGCCTTCCCTCTGCCTCTGGGAGCGGTGGGTTGGCATGAGGTGGGGTAGAAACCCAACCTGGCCTGAGGCTCACTCTGGAAACTGGGGAAAGGGAAGGGAGGCGCTGCCTTAGCTAACACAGTTGAAATTTCTGGTTTTAAAAGTCTCCGCTGAATATTCTTCTCCCAGAGCCTTGAAGACAAGGGGTAACACCCCAAAATACGGACTCATTTTCCACTCTACCTTCATTGGCCGAGCAGCTGCCAAGAACAAAGGTCGCATCTCCCGATACCTGGCAAACAAATGCAGTATTGCCTCACGAATCGATTGCTTCTCTGGTATGGGTGGGGGAGTGGGCAGTTGGGAGGGTGGGGAGGCTGACTACCCTAGCAGCTTCTACAATGATGGCAGTATTTTTCGTCAACAGCAGTTCACCTAGTGATTGTTGTTACTTTGGGTCTGAGTAAAGCTGAGGGTAGGGGAATGCTGGAGGCTGAGCTAGTAGTTTGTCCTGCTAGGGGCTGATGTGCTTTCTTTACTTATATAAACACATCCAGAGGTGCCCACCAGTGTTTTTGGAGAGAAGCTTCGAGAACAAGTTGAGGAGCGGCTGTCCTTCTATGAGACTGGAGAGATTCCCCGAAAGAATCTGGATGTCATGAAGGAGGCAATGGTTCAGGTCAGTTTGGGTCAGGTCAGGTGGGGTAGAATCCGAGCTGGCTGTTGGAGGTGATGAACTGTTTTAGCCTGACCATGTAGAGTGGAGGTAAAAAACTGATGTAATGAGCCTGATCCAACAAAACCATGAGAGACCTAGGGAACCAGAGGTCTTCAAGCCTTTTCAGCATCTTTCTTTGGCCAGGCAGAGGAAGCGGCTGCTGAGATTACTAGGAAGCTCGAGAAACAGGAGAAGAAACGCTTGAAGAAGGAAAAGAAAAGGCTGGCTGCAATTGCCCTGGCTTCTTCAGAAAATAGCAGTGCCCCGGAGGAGTGTGAGGTCAGTATTAAATTGTCAGCCCTCAGCCCTAGGTAAAGATCTTAGGTTATAGGACAGAAAACAGCAGAACAGAGAATATAGCATCTCAAGTCAGGGTCTACAGTACATGCTTTTGGATTGAAATAAAGACTTGAAGTCTCAAAATCGACCTCTTGATTGTATAGGAAGGAGATGGGTGCTGAGAAAACTCACTCAAGAGCCCAGAGAGCTGGTTTGTAGCAACACCTGTTCATTCTCTGGGCGAGTGTGTTCTGCCTCTGCTGCCTTCCATGAGTTCTTAACCAGGGATGGTGCAAACTGCACTGCTTATTCAGATGTGTCTAGAGATGATAGCATCTCATACTGGGAATGGGGAATAGGGAGGGCTCCAATGTGCTGCTATGGTAGAATCATTCTCCCTAGGATTGTCAGCAGTGCCCGTGTTTCAGGGTCCCCTCTGGCACTTGGCATCATGATTCTTTTTTGTGACCAGCATGGTGAGGTTTTTTTGTAAACCTAAGGATAGTCTGATTACCTAAGGATAATTGTGTGTTCTGTCTACCTTTTAAGTGATTGCGGGGGGGGGGGGGGGTTACCTTTGATTTGACATGGATTTCCAAAGCTAAGCCATTCTATTAAAATCATCCCAGAAATACTAGGCAGTTTTAAAGCCATTTTCACTAGTCTTTCTTCCCTGAGTGCTTAACAGCTGGAATTCTAACATGGATATGTGTACATAAAACAGATGACACTACTTCATGCCCACTTTTCCCTTTCT